GGAGCTCACAAATGTTAACATTCTTTTAAAAACTAAAATTCTTCCTTTTAACGCTTTTTACCAGAATTACTGCATGTCTCTAAAAACTGATTTTTTTCATCTTTGATCTTGCCCCTCCTTCAGTCATCCTCTACACTTCTTTTTTTTTTTGAAAGAATTTATTTTAATTTGACTTTGTGTATTTACTTTAATTTGACCAGAGAGGGACAGAGAGAGAGAGGGGAAGAGAGAGAGAAAGTGAGAAAGCAAGTCACCAGGTCCAGGACTCGAACCGCAGTTGGCCATGTGGGAGTCCAGTGCGATGACCCTCATCCTCTACATTTCAATGATTGTTTTACTCTACTAAACTTTTTTTAAATAGTTCAAATTACCTATATAATGAAATATGAACTGTTTAATAAAGCCCTTTATAATCAGGCCTCTATGTAATGATCTAGCTCCACCTATGCCATTTCCCATGTTCTAGTCCTATCCACTACTCTCAATCCTTTGAATTAGCTATGTGTTGCCTACGCTTGCACCTACTGAGACCTCTATTTTTACAACAAATCCTTACTTGGTGAATTCTACTCTTGATTCATCCTACCAAACAAGCCTCATCTCCACAAAGACTTCCCTGACCTTTCAAACACAATCACTTCCTCCTGGTTACTAGCACTAAGTCCGCATTTAGTAGACAGCAGTATGGAATAGTGGAATCTTACTGCCTTCCATCCCAACATTGGTGCTTAGACTGTGATCTTTGCCAAATTACTTGATCTTTCTGTACTAGAGTTTCCTCTTTTAGAAAACGGTGAACATAACAGCACAACTTCATATCACTTTGGAAACATTACTGAGATAATTGCTTATATTATACATATAAAGTCCTTACAACAGGACTTACTAAGCACTAAATGAAAACTATATGAACGACTAACTCTATCATTTTCTCCACTAGACTGTGAATTCCTCGACAGCAAGGAATATGTCTTTTTTATCTCTTAATCTTTAACAGTGTTGCAGATCCCACCAATTGCCTACTGACTTGAATAATGTCTTACTCTAGAGAAGCAAAATAAAGATTAAACAACTACAGTACTTTGCCATGAAGTTTCCATTTATAAAGAGTAGTTATTTTCTTTCTTTCTTTCTTTCTTTCAAAAACAGAAAGAAAGTGAGAAATCACTCCCTGGGGGGATGGCCATGCCACAATTCATTCTCCTCCATTCTCCTCTCAGGATTTTGGGCACGCTTGCACACATGTGCCTGGCATGAGTTTTAAGCCTCCAAGTCCAGACTCGAACCACGATCAACTACATAGGAGTTAAGCGACGTAACCATCATGCCATCTGCTGGTCCCAAGAGTGGTCATTCTTAAAATGTAAAATGACAGCCATATAATGATATTTCAGTATTAGATCCAAAGCTCAAAATCACATCAAGTAAGATATACAACACTGCATTGATGAACTTAATGAATTTCACACTCAGCACCTTTTTAAGTGATCCCACCACTTTTATGGTAGTATTAATTATGGTCCTTTTCTGTACCTCCAAGATTTCAGAGCAGTGGGGCAGCTTCATGGAACTAGTGACTTCTAATTGTTTTACCCCCTTCAAATCAACATCGTCAAAGGAATAAACTAGCATTGATTTAAATCCCATTGCTGACACATACTGTACCACTCAAGTTATGCTACCAGGCCAAGCAGTGAAAGACGTTCAATTTCAGCAGATTCACAGGAATATTTGGCGCTATGAAGAATGTTAGGAAGTTCCTGAAGTAGCCTACTAAAAGCCAGAAAAACTTGGGGGATCAGCAGTTGGCATAATGGCTATGTCGCTGGACTCCCATGTAGTCAACCATGGTTTGAGTCCAAGACCCAGTGGCTTAAACGCACGCTGGGTGCATGTGCATGCGTGCCCAAGAACCTGAGAGGAGAATGGAGGAGATGGGATTGTGACGTGGTCATCCCCCTGGGGGGTGATTTCTTGCTTTCTATCTCTCTGTCTCTCTCTGTCTTTCTGGCAAGCACACACACCACACACCCTTTACCAAAAACTTCTCAAAAAAAAAAAAAAAAAAGAGGGAACCCGCAGGTAGCGTAATGGGTATGGCGGTTGGACTCCCACGTAGTCGACCACGGTTCGCGTCTCAGACCCGGTGGCTTAGAGAGGAGAATGGAGGAGATGGGATTGTGACGTGGCCATCCCCCCTGGGGAGTGATTTCTCGCTTTCTGTCTGTCTGTCTCTCTCTGTCTGTCTGGCAAGCGCACGCGCCCTATAGCAAAAACCTCTCCAAAAAGAAAGAAAAAAAGTAAGCAAGCAAGCAAGCAACCTACTTCTAATATAATAAGTAATATAAATGTAAAAGAGGTCTTGCTGTGATAACACAGGGCATCACTGATAGTGACATGGGAGGCCCAGGTTCAGATCCTGGGTTGAACCGAACATGTCAGGCACACCTGTACAGGTCCATGATCTTGGTGATCATTGGCTATTGGCAGGAGACCATGGTTTTTTAACCAAACCCACTTCTGCGTTAGAGACACTTGGCAAATTTCAAATAGGTAGCAGGCTTCCCCTGCTGAATAAGTGATCAAAATGAGGAAGGGGGAAGCCACAATGTCTTTCACTTCCTAGTCTTAGAGGTCACCTTCTGTCACTTTTGCCATATTCTACTGGTCCAGGGAATATTGCTGACACAGTGCAGGAGCAGTCTACAGAAGAGCACAAAACAAAAGCAAGGATCACTAGGGACCATTTTGGATATTAGCTACAGCAAGCCCAAATCGTCATTAACTGGTGAAACAAACTGTAGGATGTCCATCCAGTGAAAGAGTAATTAATAATCCAACAATAAAAAAGGAACAAACTCTTGATCTATGCAATGTGAAAACTCACATATACATGATACTAAGTGAAAGAAGCCAGACCCTAATAGCCACTTACAGTAAAATTACATCTACACCAGCATTCTGGGAAAGGCAAACCCAAAGGTACCCAAAACAGATCAGAGGTAATTAGGAACTTGGGAGGGAGCAGAAGATTGAGGCATGAAGGAACTTTCCAGGATGATGGCAATGTTCTAGTCTTGTGATGATGCTGATGTGACCATATATTTGTTAAAATTCATAGGAATGTACACATTAAAAAGGTGAATTTTCAGCCAGCAGGTGGCATGGAGGTTAAGGTGGCTAGATCCCACGTAGCTAATTGCATAATTTGAGTCCCAGATCTGGTGACTCCAAAAACACACCAAGTGTATGAGTACATGTGTGTATATACCTGAAATTCTTAGAGGAGAATAGAGGAGAAGGGATTGGGGCGACCATCCCCCCAGAGGCATGATCTCTCTTTCTCTCTCTCTCTCATTCTCACTCTTGATTTCTCTCTCTGTTTCTCTCTGGTGAGCATAAGTGCCCTATAGCAAACTAAAAAAAAAAGTGAATTTTTATTGTATGCAAATTTTTATTGTATTTATAATTTGCATATTGTGTATGATTAATAGATTAATTTGTATGCAAACTAATTTATTAATTTGCATAAAATAAATAGATCCACAGTCTATTCAAAAATAAATAAATAACTACTATCTACTCATAAAAGAGAAGGGAATAACAAGAGGAAAAGAAGAGGCTTGGTTGAGGATAGCAATAGCCATCTTAATGTGTAAATGGTGGAAATTTCTGAAAGGATAACTGCTAAGCTAATAACATCATAATTAAAGTTCTTCAAGCTTTAAAAAAAAACTCTTGAGCTTGAGTCTGCAGATTGAAAATACTTATCAAATTATGGGTTAGGTGGATGAAAAAGAAGCACATATCCTAGCATATCCTGATGAAAGTCTTGAACTCCAAGAATAAAGAGAAAAATCTCAATCTTCCAGAAAGAACAAGTTACTTAGAAAAAAGAGAGAGGGGCCGGCAGGTGGCATGGTGGATAAGGGCGCTGGACTCCCACATGGCAGACTGGGGTTTGAGTCCTGGACCTGATGTACTTAGAAAAAAGAGAGGGGCCGGCAGGTGGCATGGTGGATAAGGGCACTGGACTCCCACATGGCAGATTAGGGTTTGAGTCCCGGACCTGATGGCTTGCTTTTTTACCTTCTCTCTCTCTCTCTTTTTTTTCTCTCTGGTCAAATTAAAATAAATAAATAAATAAATAGTCAAATAATTCTTTTTAAAAAAAAAAAAAAGAAAAAAGAGAGAGAGAGCCACAGGCTTTGTTTTACCTGCAACACAACAAAAAGAGGATAGTAAATTAACATTCACAAATTTTGAGGAAAAAAAGGACTGCCACCCAAGAATTTCACCCCAACCAAGAGTAAAAGAAAACTATTTTGGGATATGTTATCACTTTTAAAATGTTATTACCCAGTTATTCTACCCAGAGAAATAACTAAACAAAAAAATTTAAAGAAAGAAAGAAAGAAAGAAAGAAAGAAAGAAAGAACTGAATCCTAACAGGGATAGGAGAGAATAAACACAGGCCATTATGACATACATAGTTATAAATAACTATGTATTAGTAAGGCAATCAGAAGAGATATACACTAAAAAAAAAAAAAAAAAAAAAAAAAAACCCTAAAAGAATATGTAAACTTTGGTCCCCATTCTAAATATCCATCAAGTAATCATCAGAATTAAAGAAGCTAAACAAAAGACTACTAAAGCCAGCCCAGTATAAAAGGAATCTACTGCCTTTGTTTGTTTGTTTGTTTGAGAGGTTTTTGCTATCGGGTATGTGTGCTCGTAAAAGACAGAGAGAGAGACAGAGAGACAGGAAGCAAGAAATCACACCACAATCCCTTCCCTTCCATTCTCCTCTCGGGATCTTGGGCACACACGCATACGCGCCTGGTATGAGTTTAAGTCACCAGGTCCGGGACTTGAACCACAGTCGACTATATGGGAGCACAGTGACATAGCCATTACGTCAACTGCTGGTCTCATATTACCTATTTTAATAATTAACTATTACCAACAGCTTTTTATTTTGTTTTGCTTTATTTTACCTGGTTTGCAAGATGAGAGGGACCAAACAGCTTGTGATCCAATTTCCCGTACTGTTCCAGTCCTTTCTAACTGCTTTGGGTCAGCACCAGGAGGTGTCTTGTTTGGTGTGGTCATTTTAAAAATATTCTATGTAGAAAAAAAGAATAGGCACATTATACCAGGAGCTCAGCATCATTCTATAAAAGGTAAAAATAAAAATTTAATTGTGAAATAGATCATACATAATTCGGTTAATATAATTCGATCACAGTAATTAGAAAAATCTTAGGAATTCAGTTTTTGTTTTTAACATATTATTTATGGCAGTATGATGCAGGATACATTAGTAGAAAGGGCACAGGTTTAACTATAACTGCTAGCTTCAACCTCTTCTTTAATTAGCCTGAAGTTTGGGAAGGTTTGGCTATATCTCCTCTCCTGTCAAAAGAGTTGACATGACGATTTTTTTTTTCCTTTATGAGATAAAGGAGAGGGAGCAGGAGGAAGAGAGAAAGTCATAGGTATTTTGCAGAGGGCCTTACTATGTCTCAATCCTCCTGCCCAGTCTCCCAATTGGTTAGGAAGTAGCACAACTGGGGTTTCCAGTTTACACCACGGCAGCTGGGCCTTGATAAATTTTAATTCTATAATGCTAGGCAATTCTGCATGTCTATGAGTAACAATTCAAATAAAGTTTTACTTCTAGAAAAGTCAGATCAGAATACTCTTATCTCTGGAATATGTAAACTTTGGTCCCCATGTTAAATATCCATCCAGTAAAAATTCCTATCTCCCCACTAGTTGTCAAAAGTTCCATTTTATGAGCCAGTCAGTGGTGGTAGTTAAGGCAGCTGAGAGGAGTGTGCTTTCTCACTTTCTCTGTCTCTCTCTCTCCAGCGAATACACTCTCCCTTCAGCAAATTAAATAATAAAAAATCCATTTACATGTACTCTTACCATAGAAGATAAAGTCAGAAAAAATGGCTTCAAGGTCTAGGAGTGAATAACTGCCCTATTCTATTATAAAAGGGTTGTCTTCATCTTTCACAACTCCTGTTAAACTTAGGAGGCCTGTGCAAACGTAAAAAAATAGAAATACTTCTTAGATCATAAGAAATATGTAGAACTGCTCCAATAGTGCAGTTATGTTACACATGCTACTATATAACAGGACAAATATGTCCTATTATACCATATCCTTGACATCTCCCATTACATCCTAAGTTGTTCCTTAGTTGCCACCGCTTTGGTTACTCTATGAAAGGCCTGAGATTTAAATGCTCAATAAATAATTTACTGAAAGAATAAAAGAACGCATAGGTTCAGGCATCAATTAACGTATTTCTTATTCGCCTGCAAGTTAAGTAAGATCTAGGATGAGACAATTAAACCTGTAGTCATTATCACAAGCTGTCATCTCAAAAAATAGCCCATCTCTTTACGGGGATAGACGACTGCAGGATTTGAGACCAGACGCCACCAAGTGGATAAAACACGGAGCTGGGAGAAGACCAGGTTCCCTGCCTGGAAGAACTGACCACACCAGTCAAAGGGAACTAAAGCCCACGAGAATACGCCGCTGTGAGCAGTATCGGACCTGACTCGGTCCTACTTGACACATTTCTTACGGGCTTCAATGAGTAAGGTTCTAATCCTGACCCACTGGCCTTGAAGAGACGCGAGCGTACATAAAACTAACACAGAGGAGAATGCTTTTGCTTAAACTAGGTCCATTCTACACGTCGCACAAAATACCCCAGGCAATTAACAGGTTCCAGACCTGGCTCGCCGCACCCCCGGTTCTCACCACCTCCAGCTGCCCGGCGCCACTCCCACTCGGTTTCCCAGCACAGCCTGGGATCCACAACGTTAAACTGGGGTCGCAGCACAATGACGTCACACGGCGTCATCTCCTCGTATCTTATCTCCAGGGCTCCGCCTCGCGCGCTCTGTCGCGCATGCGCCCTACGTCCTTATGCCTTGCGTGAGGCGGCGGCTGGGTACCGCCATTTTGGCCGGTAGCCGTAAGAACACGCGTGAGATTGAGAAGTGGAGGCAAGAGCTGATTTGGCCTCTGCGCTCCCCTCTGCGAGGGGATCGTTTTCTCCAGGTGAGTGAACTGCCCAGGAGGGTTGGCCACTCGCTGCGTCTGCCACATTAGAAGGACCGTAGGGGACGTTCTCCTAGAGCCTTTGGTTAGGCCTCAGGTGGCAGCGGCGGAGACAGCAGTGGCGCGTGGCAGCGGGCTCCCGCGGGACAGCTGCGACCGCTGGAGTGCGGGCAGCGCCTAGAGCTTGCGGGAGCCTCACGCTGCACATCCGGCTGTTAGCCACTGTGCCTGCAACCTCCGCCAGGTGCTACGAGATTGGACCTAAGTGCCCTCGCCTCGGAGATCCAGCCTCTACCATCTCCAGTCTGCCTTCACCCGACTCCTACCAGGGAGTTAGTTCTTCTGGAGAAGGCACCTTCCGAACTTAGAGCATCCCCTGCTCCCCGGCCCGTAAACTGGATATGCAGTATTGTCATGTGTGCGTGTTGGGTGGTGGAAAGTCGTGGCTTCTCTCCACCTTTTTGATTGTGGAATGAGTCACGGCATCTTGCCGCCATGAAGTCGAAAGCTCCTTGTCCACGCTCAGGCTTTATAGAAGTGATGGCCACACGTTGCTCAGGTTCTCGTCGAACATCGTCTACTGGCGTTATCCCAGATCATTGCCTAGTTGAACGCCTATAGCTTACAGCTTTTTCGGTGCGCTTTGACAGCATCCACTTTTCTTTTTGGTAACATTTGTTTTTACTTTTATTTTCTCTTCATTATAGGCACTTAGTATTTGTTGTGAAAGAATGATGGCTAACGTCGAAATCGTACATCCCATGAACTGCATAATTGTACTTTCTTTTTAGATGGTAAAATCGATAAGAGTAAGAGAGAACTGTCACCCCCCCCCCCTTGTTTTTTCCTTATCCTCTGTTCCACAGTACTGCTAACCTGGCATTTATGATAGTGGTATTTATGTTGCAATCATTGTCCAGTATGCTGAGAGAATATTCATTCTATACCAGCCATCTGACAATAATGCTTTGTCAACGTATCTAAAGGCTCTAGTCTGTATTTGAACCCAAAGGTTTTGGGGTTTTTGTTTAATTAAAAACCTTGTCTACCTCCTATTTGGAAAAGATACATTTTTAGAAGAACATTAAACATAAATGCTGGTATGGGTAGGGTGGAACAATACTAATTTAGTGTCCCTTCTAAATGTCTTGAAGTTAAGACTCTTTGAAATCAGAGTTGTGCACCACTCCCAGCTTACTAGTGTTTTATGAGACTAATAACCTACAATAACAGGTGAGGATATTTTATGTAATATCAAGCACCAGTAATTATGAAATGTTTCTATACAGCATTCTCATAATTTTGGTTTTAGATTGCAGGTGTAGTCTGTGTATACCTGACTTCCTTTTTCCTCTCAGCTGAAGGTCGAGTACGTATTTTTGAAGTTTGTCTCCAGATCTGAAATACCTTCAAATCCCTTTTTGTTCCCATAGTGTGTTACTATCAATATAATCTCCTCCAGGCTTTACTGTGGTGTATCTTTTTCCAGTCAAAAAGAAAGTAGGGAACCCCCTTCTCCCAACTTTTGAAACTAATATAGAAATTGAGTTAAAAGTGTTTATTCAGAGGATGAATAGTTTTAGAAGGAATCCTTATTTATTCTCTTAAATACATATTTATTTTTAATATGTCAGTTCATTAACCACCTCCAGTATGTTTTTATTCTATAAAAAGTATCTCTTAACAGTCCCTTGATTTTTTTTTTTAAATTAGCCAAGCATTTTAGTAGTTTGACACATACAAGATTTAATTTAAGCAATTTTATGATTAAAGAGTTATCCCCTGGAGGGAAATTCTTAGTGCTCTTTCACTGGGTAATTTATAGAATGGCATTCAGTATTTAATTTAGAATGCATGGTCCAGTTTTATTTCAGTAGCTTGCAAAAGGATTTTCAGTTAGGCAGTTGTCATTTGCAGAATGTCAGCTTTTTCATAACATTTGATTTCTTTCTCTTTTAATCTCTGTGACACTTGGGCCAGTTTTTAAAGACGTGAACCTGTTTCCTAGCATATGTTTATTACATAAATATTTACTCTTCTTATGGGTGATTTATTTTTCAGTGTCTAATTTAGCAGACAACTGTTACCATAAAACATTGATAACTTATTGGGGTCAGCAGGTGGCGTAGAGGTTAAGGCACTGGATCCTACATGGCCAGCTTTGCAGCTAAAGTCTCATACTCAGCAGCTTGAGAATCATGCCAGGCACGTATGTGTGCATGTGTGCCCAAAGTCCTGAAAGGAGAATGGAGGTATGGCCACTCCCCCAAGTG